CGGAATCAGCCCTATTGTCCTTTTCCTCTCCTAGTTGGCCACACGGGGAAAGGGAGAAAACATTTTTCATGCACTCATGAATGTAAGCAAAAGCCAAACAAACCCCACTCTTCCTCTGCCTGGCTTCCCATAGCCTGGGGAGAAAGCAGGACACAGCAAACAAAAACTGCTCAACAATCCCTCTCTTGCAAACAAGAGGCCACCAAAGCAAAGGCAGCTGCCCAAGGTACTCCCAGCTCATAACAAAATTGTTCTTGGAATTGTAGGGAATAATGCAATTAGAGAGAACTGAGTCAAAACACTGCAGCTCAAAAACCATGCACTGTAGTTCAGAGAGTGTACTTTCCATGGAAAACTGAGAAATCTTTTTACTTAACTTGGCTGCTCCCCAAAATCATATGGGCTTTCCAGATCACATGTCAGGATACACTATCATCTTAAGCAGCTCAGCCAAATTTCTTTGCCTCCATATCCAACAGCAGAAAAAGTACTTTGCCTCTTCCACCATTCTCCCTCCTTGTGTGATTACAGTTTTTTCTCAAATCAGCTCTTTTTCTCATACCATACTGCTCCCAACTGAGGAAGACAGCACCTTCTTACCATGTGACAAGCAATTGCTTTCTCCTATTTTAGATCTGAACTTAAATCAAAATTGGTATGCAATCTCTCTTTACATTGTCAAATCTTTCCAAGCCCTCCCTTCCCTGAACTTTGACTTTACTCTGGGATTAGTTGGATTTCTCAGAGGAAGGAGAGAAAGCTTTTACACTGTAATGCGTCATTAAAATACACAGCACCCCATCCAAACATTATTATTAATAATCTCCATGTTACACAGCTGTTTATATAAAATAGATGCAGAATGTAACTAATTTTTCCAGATTCTATAGGTCTGTGATCATGCTAATCTGTTTCACATGAAGGACTCATCCCTTTATTTTTAGATGAAATGAGTTAAGCAAATGTCTATGTTTAGAACACAGAAAAACCAACCAAGGCAGACAGATACTGGACGTACATGCATTAAACTGTAAAGCCTGAAAAAGACTTGGAAAAATTCTGTAACTGAAGTGCTACTGAAATATCCTGTAACTCCTGCTTCACTTTTATGTCTCTATATATAGATACAGATATAGATCCCATTAATGAAATTCAATCCCAAAGGGAGCTGGCAACCAAAAGTAGTACAACAGTTTTTGATATTAAAATACAGCTCTCTCTTATACCTCCCTGTAATTTAGAAATGAGATTTAAATTGCATATAAGTTTTTCATAATAATGGGATCTTTTCACCTCCAGATATTTTTGCCACTGTTAAAACTGAACTACAGAACTCCAGAAGATAAAATGCTCCCATGTGTAACTGTCACCTTCAAAATTACAAATTAAAACATATATAAAAAAAATCCAAAATCCAGAAACCTATATCCCATTTAGCTCACCTGTTTTAGTCCATGTTTACCACATAAATTTAGATTACATCTACTAACAGTTTTCCATTTATTAAATATCAACTCCTCAAAAGAAAAAAATTGCAATAAATAATGTCCTCCTTTATTTATCTTTTCCAGAAAAACGATGGGGAAAAGGAAGGAAAAAAAATGCACTTTCTAGTACTTTAAGCATTGTTAATTTTGGTCCAACAAACTTAAACCCCACTTCTGACATGCATCTTTTTTTTTTTTTTGAGAGTGAAGAAAATAGGCAAAGTTCCATCAGCTCAAAGGGACTGAACACATGGCAATGATGCAAGATAAGGCTTTAAGTAGCAGTAACAAAGGAACCAGCATTTTCCTTTGAAAGCAAAAAAAATTTCGTTTAGTATTATGCTATTTTCTGAAGTGTTGGCATCTGTAGGAAAGGGATTAAAACAATTTAATAGTTTTGATATGCCAAAATACTACAAATAATGGCAATAAGTCTTTTATAGGTTAGTGATGTAGCACTCACAGTGGCGCTGTTGACTTACACCTTCCAGGGACAGCTCTTAATTTCATTCAGCAATCTTAAACCCTGATATCTTTGTACTGAATTGACAAGTCTACATAAATTAATCTGTCATAGAAAAAGGCCCACTTACTATTGGTGGAAGTATGCTTGATAGATAAGCTAACTGAAATTCAATTTTGAAAAGTTTTACTGAGACTTTTTCTTTCCTTTACTCAAGACACATAATCTTAATTCATAAAATAAAGTGTGCAAGGCAAAAGCAGCGCTGTGCCAAAGACACAGTATTGGTCATGACACTCCAGGTATTTTAAAAGCAATTTGTACCTCAGTAAAAGTGCAACATCTCTGGTTCCTTCATACCTCTGCTCTCCAAATCTCAGTATGCTTTCCCTGATCAATTTAACTTAACGATCTCCTAGTAGCCAGAATAAATTAATTCAAAATCACACTGGATTTTTGTCTGGAATCATGCTTCCTAATGCTATCAGCAGCTGACAAAAGGGGACAATCCCCTGAGACACAGCACAACGAGGAACATTTAATGATGGCTTTTACTATCTTTCTGTTATGTTAGGCTAGTCCTTCAGCCAGGGCTCTCACTTCTGTTTCAGCCCCTGCACAAGAGGGAATAAGGCAGTAGCAGCATAAAACAATTCCAATACACATTTCATGTCAGTAGAGGAGTTTCCACAACGTGGGCACTGAGGAACACATCTACAAAATTTTCTTGAAAAGGCACATTCATGCAAGCTCTGGCACAAGGGGCAGACCAACAGCATAGCTGTAGCACTGGCACAAAAGGCAGTGTAAGGAGGTTGCTAAAACTTATTTTCCACCCTTCTGAGCAAAGCAGATTCCATCTGCTGGAGTAGTTCCATCAAAATTGCCATTCCCGTTGCTCTGGTCTGGGCAGCACAATCCCGAATGACAAGACAGACACTGCAGAGCTGCTCAGAGTTAACAACAGTAACTGCCGGAGCTCAAGCAGAAGCTTCCATGGACACTGTTCAGAGGGTACCAGAAAGATCTAAGATGTGTTTAAAGCTGTGGTAAGATGAAAAAGAGGTTTTGGGTTTATAAACGAAGACTTGGACAACTTCTGGAATAATAGAAAGAGGAAGATTTGTTTGAAGACAGGTTTTCCCTGTGGAGGGGTTTGAAGACAATGTACATTTCAAGAGAAGAGGTTCTTGCACAAACCTCTGAGAGATAATGGGCAAACTGTAAGCACTACTGGCTAGACTGTGTTTTCTAAGTAAGTTTTTTTTCTGGTAGACACTGACTCACTGAAATACATACCTCATTATTCAGTCTCCTTTTACTAACATTTTTACCAGATACTTCATGAAGAAATAAAATCGGTGACAATTGCACTGTGACTTAACCACCCAGATGACTTATCATTTCCTGAAAGTCAGTTTCTCGGAGCATTTAAAAAAAAAAAAAAAGGAAAAAAGAGAAAAATAAAGAGGCTCCTGTGGTCCGTCTGGAGCCAGAAATCCTAAGTTTAGCTTTGGCAGCAAATCCCATCAGGGCTTTCCAGAATGCTGCATGGGATTACATTTTCAAAAGGACTTAAAAGGTTTAGGAGCACGTCTCATTATTAAAAGTGATTTAGACTAATGAGCTTAAGCATTGCTAAATGTACTGCTTCATGCTCTGTCTTGTCCAGTCCAGTGAGGGGGACGGTTCTCCCACAGCTCCCGACAGATTTAGATGCAAGGGTTTGAAATACTGGAACCCCGTTTCTACAGCTTTCTGATGGAGGTGACTGGCCCCGACCAGGAAAAGCAGATGGGGACACGCACCTTAGCCCAGCAGGTCAGCATAAACCATCGACAGAGCGAGACTGTACTAACAGGCCGGGCTGTGAACTTGAGCAGCACCCTTTCTGCTGCTCGTGGCACAATTATGAAGCAGAGATTAAGGGAAACAGTACCTTCTGTGGCTGCAGTCAGATTCACCAGAGGCCATCTGTCAAAGGTCACAAGCTCCTAAGTGCCTGAGACACTTTTAAAAGCAGACGTGGGTACTCTTGACAGTAGCATGCAGCCTCCCTGTGCCACATACCCTTCTCTCGCCCTAGTCTGTGATTTCTTTCTTGGTTTAGTGTGGAGGTTTTTTAGGGGAGAGGGAGGTAAGGCACACAGAGTACTTATCAAAGGAATTAAAGTGTTTTATTCCATTTGCACATTTGCAACAGAAAAATTATTTTTAAAAATTCAGATGTACCATGCTATACCTGACCGAAATTCTTCAGTGCTGTTCCTACATTTTGTGAGAGACTGGAAATAACTCCTAAATGTGTAAAATTTTGAACATGAAACATGAAAATTCATAAGCCTATTCACGAGCTGCAGTGTTTACTTTCTGAAAATTAAGTTGACAGATTTTCTGATGCTTTGTTTTCTATTGACAATAAGTCATGACACCACAGAAATGGGGGCTTGAAAGGGGAAGCACGTAAGAGTCTGAACGTTTGCGTGGAAGGGTGGGGTAGGCAGGAGTGTGATTGTGGCCTGATAGTTGTATTAGGTAGATGTTTCTGCTAAAATGTTTAGCATTAAAGGAGTTTTTAATTTAAGCTTTCTATTAAATAATAATTTAAAAAATGTAAATCAGTGTTATGATGCTCTCTAGCTTTCCAGGTTAGTCTCAGTAGCTAGAAAAAACCAGCAAGTTTGGTTTAAACAAACTTCAAACTCCTAAAAAATGCCCTGTATTTAATCATAAATTGAGTATGTGATGAATATGCTGCGTTGAATTGGTTGCTTTTTCAGGATAGCTGAAAAAGCTATATAAAACCTAAGCCAAGCCATTCAGATGGTCCACAAACAGATTTTAGCACCAAGTTCTACCTGCTCAAGCTTTTTGTTGGATCAAGACCTCACTTTTTACCCATCCAAAGCTCCATTTAAGTCAAGAGAAATATGGCTGAATTAAGGGCTGAATAAGAAATTAATATCGACCCTTACTTCTGGCCAGACATTAGTACCTTAATTAAGTACTATAATTTCTTTGCCATTGCAATTTTAATCCACTACGCTATCTGTTTGAAGCTCATCTCACTACAAGTTTCCTAAGAAACAAATTTAGCACACATACATTAGTAAGAATGCAGCCTCAGGTAAGTTTGGTTTTGGATGATGGAATAGCCCTGCCCCTCAATTTGTTTATGTTCACCAAACCTGTTACTGAAACAGATCCAGAGCTCAGGGGAAAGAATGAAAGGTCTGTGCTGCATGTTCTTCGTTCACAGCACACCTTTGCCTTCGTTCAGAAAGCCAGGGAATCTTATTACTTTTGAAAGTATGTTTTCTTTTTTCTGAGCTTTAAGTGGATGGCAGTTATGACAAAACCTGTCAGGGTTGCTGCTGTGCCAGAAACCACGTAGGCAATTCCGAGGAATGGGTTACTTCCTCCGCTCCATACCACGGTTGAAAGAATCACATGCTTCCTCCCCTTGAATTTGGTAACAGGGAAATCTAATAAAAGGATGTTAAGGTTTCACTAACAAAGTTTACGTTATTTCCAGGACGAGAAAAAGTAGTGCTAAATGCTCAAAAACCTTTCCAAGGCATAAAGGGTCTGGAGATCTGCATTTGCTGCAAAAATTCCTGATCTGTGATGTCTCTGCTATTCTGGGTCCAAAAACCCAGTAGCAGCTGATGGTAAGAAATCCAGTTATCTTAGATACAGTCTCTGTGTGAACATGGAACTACTTTTTTTTTTTTTTACATTATAAATTTCAGATTCATAATTTATGTAACTGCTACTGCATTAATTTGCTATGAAACTATTGAAAATGAGCCTTTTGGGCAGCTTACCATGATGATACTCCACATATTCTCACTGAGGGGAAGTGCTCACCTCTACCTAATGTGTTGTCTGCACAAAAGTTATATGATTTTACCTTTCACCTCTCCACATGGAAGCTTTCAGAATAGAACTGTGTAGAACTGTGCTACAACATTTAAAGTCATAGCTCTACCGGCTGAGAGAGAAGAGAAATGTATAGTCATCTTGACATAACTCCTGCTGACAAAACAAGTGCTTTAGTCAGCAAAGTTCACACTGTTCAGCGTGAGACTGCATTTTCACCAGCACAAGAGTTCCTGTCAGCACGCGGCCCAAATCCGCCGCGAGAGAGAAGGCTCTGCTGACACAGGCACCCTGCACAGCTCTCAACAGCAGGGATACCTCTGGCACTTCTTGCATCCCAGTAAGGGTATCTACACACCTGATTAGGCTGCTATTAAATATTTCACTTAAAACAACATCTTCAACCATCTCTTCAGGTTCCCGCTCTTTTACCCTTTGTGTAAAGCTCCCGTGTGCTGTTTCCAGCCAAAAGTAGCCCCCTCAGCAGTCAAATCCAAAGTCACGTGCTGCCATTTGAGTAACATGTCTTAACTCCATCTGCACGGGCTAAAGAAAATCCACTTGTAGTGTCTCATCACCCTCATAACTAGGTCTATTCAAGGTAATTTAGTTTGGGGTATTTTGCTTGGTTGCTTTGCCATTTTACTACTACATCCCATCCGCTTCCATGTCGTTGTAACTATCTAACAGTTAAGGAGTGTCTTGGATAATATGAAAGGATACTATACGAAATACGAAAAGTGTAATTCCCTGCTGGGAGGCCATCCGCAAACTGCCTTATCCGGCTGACACGACGGTAAAGATTTCTGAACGTAGCAAAGGCTGACACTCGCATCCAGATAATGAAGTCGTCATTTATATAACCGTTGTTCCTTTCATCTTCCTCGTCTAACAAATATACTGGTTTCTGCCAGTAAGGAGGTCTTGCTGTCCCTGGTGAAAAAGAAAGAAACCAGGAAAGACATACTGTCAGTAAAAACAGTGGTTGGTTACTAACTTCTGGGCCTACTCACAACCAACACAGAATACGAGATATGAAAACGACACAAGACTCTGTCCAGTATTGAAAAATTATATATGCTAGATAACACTTTTCACAAGCATCTCCACTCACCTCAGACATGAACGAACAGAGTTTAACAGTACCCAGGGGTTGCTCCACATTCGAAACATCAAGCACAGGAAAACCAAAGTGACTTGCACAAATAAAAATACTGTTTATTCTGAATTCTTTCCTCTTCAGCAAGCAACATATTCTCTATAATGAGGAGCTTGCCTTCATTTTTATACATTAATATATTCCTGTAGGCACCTTTTTGCAGTCTAACAGCACAGCCTATGATATTTAGAATCTGCCCCAATTAACTCTTGCATATTCCATCCAGCACAGCACTGCCTTGATCCACAATAGGGAACTTTCAGTCCCACTTCAATATAAATTAACCGTAACAAGGAAACAGTCCTAGCAAACAGCTGTTTGAAAGAACTAGTGAAGGTGGCAGTTTCACTTGGCTCACAACTGCCTAAGAATCTGCAAAGGCATGAAGAAGGAAAGATGTGACAATGCAACTCTCCTTCATAGGTGTTTTCAGTAGAAAAAAAAAAATTACTATATCCTTGCTTTCACTGTATAGCTAAAGCGTTAAAATAAACTATACAGAAGGGTGTGGATGCGGGCTAACTTCGGTCTTCCAAAACCACTTTCTCCCAATTTCTATGGGTAGTGGAAAAAAGAAAGTGATATTTTGGCTAAATCTGGCCTCTGCTCTCAGTCACCCTCTAAAGCTGCTTCTCCTACCTCCTTTGGGAGGTATTTCTCCCAAAGGCGATTCCCATCTCAGAATGGGAGACCTCCACACGCAGGGAGGGAGGGAACCCATTGAAAAATAAGGAATACCAGTGGAACCATTCTTACCTGCAAATGCAGAAGAGAGATTGTATGACTTTGGATTGCGAAATTTCACATTTTTATCTGTCCACCAACTGTTTCCAGTCTTCAGCAGTGGAACTTGAATAACAGATGAGTTAAGATTGTAAAAAAGATCAATAGTATCTGCAGGGAATACAAGAAGCAATATATATGAGTAAAAGACAGTCATTCTAGTGGCCAGCATGACTAACAAAAACTGACACATTGAAGCACCTTTCAAATGAATAGAAAACAAAAAAATCCTGGGAAAGGTTTCATCATGACTGTGTACAGAGCACTGTATACTCCACAAGAATAACTAAGCTTCCAGAGCCTTAGAACTTAGAAGTTTTAAAGACTGAACTGAACATGCTCCTAACAGTAATCCTATTGGATCCCTGTGTAGAAATACGTGCAAGTATCTTGTGTCCATCAACTCCTCCGTAACTAATTTCTTTGAAAATCACTTTTGGAGCTCCCTAGCTAGTTACAGAAGTTACTCTCCTAGTTAGCTTTCCCTAGAATTTCTTTGACAGTTGTTCTGAACAAATTGCTTTGTTACATATAACGTGTTTTCAGGGAACAGGGGAGAGATGAAAGCACCATCAAGAGAATCCATGATTCTTTGGAAAAAAATTTGCTTTAGTTTTATGCTAATTAGGCCTTGTCTACCAACTTGGACATAAACACTTCCTTAAATCAAACAACATTTAGTTAAAATTGTGCTTAACCATGCCATCCTGTTTCGCTGGGCAAAAAGCATTTGTTTTTATCCATTACATTTTCCTCTTCAGATTAGTTTAACATAAGGCAAAAACATTTTAGGTCTCATTAACATTTATGTAAACACCTAGGCAGCCAATGAGATGACGGGCAGGGATAGTTAGATGATATAGATGGGGAGGGGCTGCTTTTTAGGAAACATGAAAAACACAACTCAACTGCATGAGCATCGATGAAAACATACCAGTTTTATCCTGCCACAAAACCTGTGTTCACACAGCTCCTTAAGGCTCAGACAGACTCTTCTGAGTAAGTCATCATTCTGTGCCCCACTACAGCCCCAGCTGTTTGTCCCTGGTTTACTAACAAGAGTTGCAATTTTCTGAGCTTTGCCTGCTTAACTGCTTGTCTGACTGCTCCCTTACCTGCTAGCTTGGGTTAAAAACCTTCCCCATGGCAGGAACTTGGCCATCTTCCTCATTTTACAAAACAAGATTAGAAAGCAACTAGACAACCAGCTAAACTGTCAAAAGTGAATGGGAAGCACCCCCTTTCACAGCAGAGGGACAGAAATGAGCTGCCAGAGGCGGGGTTCAGACATCACCCCTTTCCCCCACACCACCAGCAGCTGGAACATTTCATCACACTGTGCACTAAGGACAGATGCAAAGATGCGGACAACACTGGGAGGTTTACCCTCAAAATTTAAAAAATCTTACTGTCTCTAGTTCCCTGCAGGAGCATTCTGTCCCGCAGCCAGGGCTCCAGAACAGTGTGGGCTGCATGCAGGTAGCTCTGCTGGCTTAGGTCTGAGCCCAGTCCAGTAAATCAGACTTCCAGGAGAGCACAGGCAGATGAAAAGCAAATGGATCTAGAAGTTACTGAATGCAGCTGCCCTTCACAAGTCCTCTGGTGTGGGTGGCTCAGCTGCCTGAAAACAGCTGCTGCATTACCAAAAACTGCTGTGTGGAAGAGGTAAAAAAAAAAAAAGGGGGGAGGGGGGAAGACAAAAAGGATGGCTAGGGGAGAAAAGTATGTAGAAGTTTTTTGTCTCCTTTCCTCCCAAAGAAATCCATTCTGAAATCTGCCAGTATTAATGGCTAGGAGCCCTCTAGGTTGCAGCCTAAACGTGCTCATAGGCAGATTATGCCCACTAGATCAAAGCTGGGATCAAATAGAGTAAAACTATGTATGCTTCCAGCATACAGAGAACAAAATGCAACAACATAGATCCAAAGGTCCAAACCAATGTGAAGAATATGTCACCTTGTTCGAAGCACACCACTGTGGGAAGGCAGAATCTGGGCCCTCCCATCACTGTAGAAGAGTGTATTTTTTAACAAGGAAGTACACTAAATCTGTTGTATCATCGTTCCTTATTTTGCCAGGGACTCAATTCCTCAGTCCTGTTGTATATTCACATAGAAGAGGGCCTTTGTCTGGTTTCAGCTGGAATAGAGTTAATTTCCTTCCTACTAGCTGGTATAGTGCTGCGTTTTGGATTTAGGATGAGAATAATGTTGATAACACACTGACGTTTTAGTTGTTGCTGAGTAGTGCTTATACTATGTCAAGGACTTTTCAGCTTCCCATGCTCTGCCAGGTGCACAAGGAGCTGGGACGGGGCACAGCCAGGACAGCTGACCCAAACTGGCCAAGCGGGTATTCCATACCATATGACATCATGCTCAGTACATAAACTGGGGATTGGTCGGGGAGGGGCGATCGCTGCTTGGGGATGGGCTGGGCGTTGGTTGGCGGGTGGTGAGCAATTCCATTGTGCATCACCGATTTTGTATATTCTATTCCCCGTCCCCCCTGCCTCCTTTTCTGTTCTATGAAACTGTCTTTATCTCAATCCACGAATTTTACTTTTTTCCCCGATTCTCTCTCCCATGCCACTGGAGCTGGGGAAATGAGCGAGTGGCTGTGTGGTGTTTGGCTGCCTGCCGGGTTAAACCACAACAGTCCTTTTTGGCACCCAACGTGGGGCACGAAGGGTTGAGATAACGACAGATCTGACCAAAGCGTGCTAAGGCAAATTTGTTATAGGCATTCATTATATTGGTTTAGTACTTGCTGGTCACAATGTTGATTTATTGGCTCTCAAAGTTGTTGGGCTGGCTCTCAGTGTTGGGTTATGTAACACCTCACTTGCAGTATATGTTCCCTGTTGTGCTGTTTATCACCAATCGGAGCTGGGTCAGGGTCATCATTTTGCTGCACTGTTTAACACTGTTTCATGATATGATAAAATTATTGGTCGTGAATCTAATCTGGTATTTGTACTCAGTATTACCATCACCTCCGTACCTTGGGAGCCACCTCTTGGAAACTTAATAATTACACTCTTTACCTTTTCTCCTGGGAGAACCAATTTATGAGGGAGACGGGGGACACTTTCCCCCACTCCTTCACCTTCCCTTTCTTATCTTCAGAAACTCCTTTTTCTTCTATCCTCTTCATGAAGCCCTCCACAACTGTTCTTGAGAATTTTGAGTATCCTTGGGATGTTCAAACAAGCACGTTCCTATTGCTATGCCTGGTTCAGGTCTTGTTTAGGGTTAAACAACTATTTAGGAATACTGTCCAGAGATCAGCCCCGGCGACAGGCACTGTGGCTACTCAAACCCCCATGACAGGCACTGCAGTTACTCCAACCCCCACAACAGGCACGGCAGCTACTCAAACCCTGGCAACAGGCACCGTGGCTACTCAAACCCCAGCGACAGCCACTGCAGCTGAACCAGAGAACTGACCCGTGCTGGTATCAGTTGCCCCTATACATAAAAGGAAATCTTGGAAGCGAAAGTCAGCTCGTCTAGAAAGGGATGACGGAAAAGCAAGGCCACCAAAAGGAGAGGAGGAGGAAGAGGAAGAACTTATAAACGAGACAGAAACCACCCGATCGCTATCCCTGAGTGAACTGCGAGATACATGGAAAGATTTCAGCCGTCGTGAGCACATGTCACCTGACTGCTCTGATGCTGGGATAACGGGGCCAGTAGCCTGGAATTGGAGGGTAGGGAAGCCAAGCAGCTGGAATCCCTTTCTAGGGAAGGGGGCATTGATAAAGCGATTGGACAAGGGGCACAAGCCCTCTGCCTCTGGAGGCGACTCCTGTCAGGCATGAAGGAAAGGTATCCCTTCAAGTAAGATGTTATATGTCACCCAGGCAAATGGACCACCAGAGAGAGAGGTATCCACTACCTGAGGGAATTAGGCATGCTGGAGGTGATTTATGATGACCTGAACAACGAGCAGTTATCCAAAGATCCAGATGAAGTCAAGTGCATTCAACCCATGTGGCGGAAGTTTGTACGAAGCCACCATCGTTGTATGCTAGTTCCTTGGCAATACTGTCCTGGATAGAGGAAGAAGCACCAACGGTGGATGAAGCAGTTGGCAGACTCCGGGGATACGAAGAAAGTGTCTCCTCCTCCCCTGTCCTGGCTGTGGAGAAACAGTCCTGGGAGATCCAGCAACTCAAAGAGGATAGGTCCTACTCTCCACCTGTACGGACCAGTATCTCAGCTATTAGGAGTCAGCATTCTTCTGCTCAAGGGAGAGGATATAGAAGGTACACACCAAACGGGGCACCCTGTGGTTCTACCTGCGTGACCATGGAAAGGACATGAGGAAGTAGGATGGAAAACTTACCTTGACCCTAGAGGCACGGGTATGTGAGTTGCAAGGAAAAACAACCACACAGGGGGGTTCTCCCAGGAAAATTGCTGCTCCACTTTCCAGGAAAAATCTGTCTCATGATGGTCCAGTTCCCCAGACAGAGTAGAAGGACTGATCTTACTTCTGATTGTAGTGAAGAAATTCTTGACTTGTATTTACAAGAAGTGAGTAATGAATACGATGGCCAGGACTAGAGGGGCCC